CTCCATACAGTAAATATATGTCTCCTATCATTGAGCGGTTGCTGAGACGACCTTAACGGAAATAGTTCACGCAAGTAACAGATTTGTTTTCAGTTTGTCCAGAATTTTCTTAACAGAATCATTCCTCAAAATTCAAAATCCCACTGAACTCAAGCACAGGATAACGGTTCTCTAAACTAAATGCGTTATTATACATTAGAGGAGATTGCTGGAAGTGGTAGTGGACGACCTCAGTGGGTAATTGTATCTCGTTTCTGTACCACTATGATAATCCAACATCTGTTCCTTGTCTCCGTTATTCCCCCGTACCGCTTCCTTCCTCCGCTTTCCTTTGTTCCAGAATCGTAGCATCCGCGCTACCCTTCGTAAAACAGTCTGTATGTATGAGTACTGTGCTACGCGCAGAAGCAGTGCTGCTCAAAGACATTTTAATCACTGAGATCTGCAAATTAATATGAGTTGTGACAGTAATAAAAATCCTGGAGCAGATCAGGCACACGATATTATTCTGTATCACTGCCTCATAATCTTTGCCTCCAGATATGCCGAAATCGGTAGAATTCTAAAAATTTACAAAATTCAAATTTTGGAGAAGAGGATGGAGGCGAGAGGGGAAGCAAAAGAGGAGGAGGAGGAGGAAAGAAGTTTACTTGTACTGACGCCAACAACATGAGCTGCGAATCGAAGGGCGTGGGATAACTGCTCCAAACGTGTGGTTGCATCTCAGTAACGCCACACTAATATCAGGTGCTAACCTGATTATCCGGGTGGTCCTGATAACTATAGTAGAGAGAAAATACATCAAAGCGGACATTGTCATAAGTGTTGCTTGACAAGCACTGGGAAAAAAGGTAAACTAAGAAATATTTTTTTTGGCTACTAGTGGAGAGTGTTCAGTTCCCACTGCAAATGGTCCACAGGAAGAAATACTCTTCAAACATACATAAGAAAGTGGAATTATGCATAACAGTAAACGCAGTTTGCTTATTTAATCACTAGCTATGAGTTTGTAGTGATAAAGGTTGAAAAATGTATAACAGGTGCAGAACTGCGAAAACCGGTAAATGCTAACTTGAGGTATGCAGCTCAGAATCGAAGAGCTTGGCATAAGTTGCGTTCGGGGCACATGGGAACATTCCAGTAACATCACTAACAAAAGATATCCTCATTGACTACCCGGACGG